GACTAAACCAGGACTAATCCAGGTCTAAACCAGGTCTAAACTAGGACTAAACCAGGTCTAAAACCAGGTCTAAAACCGGGACTAAAATAGGACTAAAACCAGGACTTAACCAGGACTAAAACCAGGACTAAAACAGGACTGAACCAGATCTAAACCAGGTCTAAACCAGGACTAAACCAGGACTAATCCAGGTCTAAACCAGGTCTAAACTAGGACTAAACCAGGACCAGACAGGAACCAGACCGAGATCAGACAGGACCCAGACCGGGACTGAGACCAGGACTTAGACCTGGACCACAACCAGGACTGAGCCCGGGACCAGAACAGGACTGAAACCAAGACTGAGACTGCGACCAGACCAGGGCTGAAAACGGTTCAGTCCTGGTTTAGTCCTGGTTCCTGGTTTAGTCCTGGTTTAGTCCTGGTTTAGACCTGGTTTAGTCCTGGTTTTAGACCTGGTTCCTGGTTTAGTCCTGGTTTAGTCCTGGTTTAGTCCTGGTTCTGTCCGGCATCACAGTTTAAGTCACGTAAACGGTAAACGGTCACACAAAATCACAAACTGAAAAAATGAATCATTATCTGTTTTTTCATTTTGGTTTTGGAGACAAATAATGAAGAAAATTGTTGTTTTTTTCGTTTATTTTGAAGAACAAATGAACGAATGATACACAGATTTATTTGTTTTGCTCTGAATGTTACAAGAATCCATCCAGAATCACACGCTTTGACAAAACTTTACAAAGACCAGTGGATCTGAAGCCGTTTCCTGTCCTTCTGATTTCAGAGGGTGTGATTGACAAGCGGGTTAACCAATCAGAGAGAAGCATCAAAAACAAACTAAAAAATGTAAATAAAATCAACATAAAGACCTGGAAAGTGTGGAGTTTAACAGAATCAACAATCAAAGCACCAAACTATGACTTATTTCAGGAAAAAAAAAAAAAAAAAGTTGTATATTTTGTTCTGAATGTTGTGAGAATTTTAGGTAACATTTTATAACAGCTCCACCTTAATTAGCCGTAATAAAGCATGAACAGAGCTTAATTCATAATTTATACCAGATATATATATTTTGGATATAAAACAGACATCTAGTCTTTCTAAAACAGTCGATTTTATGTTGGTGGGTGCTTCATTTTTTTGGTATAACATGGTAAAGATGGCACCAATTTTTATTTTTTTTCCATTTTTAACACTTAATATCTTGTAGAGTGTTGGTTACAGAGGGTCAGTTTTAAAATACAAAGTCCACAGTGACGTGTTGGAAGGTTTATGTCCAATATCAAACCTCTGTCTTTGAAATTGCACTTTCCACAGTCCTTCAAAGACGCCCTCGGATATGAAGAGGAGAATTTTCAAGCAAATTCAAGCTCCCAGAAATCTGTGATAAACCAAAAGCACGTGTGTAAAAGTCCAGATTCTACAAGTACATTTGACAAATTTTAACCCTTGGAAATTTGAAGGACCTTAAATATGTTTTTAGATGCAGCATTTTGAAAGTGGCTCCTCTGAAAACTCTGCTCAAAACAGGTCAGGGCAGAGTTGACAAAATATTTTTTTTACGACAAAACTATAAAGAGTTGGGAGATAAAATGTGGGACTTCACCTGTTGGAAAGTGTGTGAACCTTCCAGAATTTTTTCAGTCAAATCTGAGATGGTCGAGTGGGAGCATTGGGTGCTGCAGATGCAACTGTGGAGGTCGAGCGGTGCCTTTCAGAGCCAAATACTGGAAGACTGGAGAAGCGTCTGGAGCACTGGGAGAAAAAAACGACTCTACTCAAATTTACACAAACTTGCAGTTGCCTTTTTGTGCACATCAGCATCTTCTGTGCCTTGTGAAAGGGTTTTCTCCAAGGCCGGAGAGGTTGTGTCAAAAAAAAAAAAAAACTCTTGTTTCTGAATAAAAATGAATAATATTTTCCCTGTTCTGTACATCATTGTCCAAGTTACACAAGCATAATCTGTGTCCTTTTACTAGTTCCACAAGCACTTTCTCTGTCCTCTGCCTGATTACGTCCTTGCCATGTTCAGAAAAACAGCTTCACCTGCCATATTATCATATTACCATTTTGGGAAAATTTACACACACAGAATACAAAATGTATTATATGCATGTAATAATATACGTACAGAAATTATTATTTATTTAATTGTATTTATGGACAGAATTTCTAGGTGCAGTCAGGGGTCGGAGGGGGTCTGGTTTGGAGACCACAGGATCATCTCTGCTGTTTGCGGATGATATTGTCCTGTTGGCTTCATCGAACCAGGACCTGCGGCACTGGGGCGGTTTGCAGCCGAGTGTGAAGCGACTGGGATGAAGATCAGCTCTTCCAAGTCCGAGGCCATGGTTCTCGACAGGAAAAAGGTGTCTTGTCGTCTCCGGGTGGGTGGAGAGTCCCTGCCTCAAATGGAGGAGTTCAAGTATCTCGGGGTCTTGTTCACGAGTGAGGGGAGGACGGAATGTGAGATTGACAGGTGGATCGATGCAGCGTCTGCATTAATGCGGTCGCTGTATCCCCCCGTTGTGGTGAAGAGGAGCTGAGTCTGGATTTACAGGTCAGTCTTCGTTCCTACTCTCACCTCTGGTCATGAGCTCTGGGTAATGAGCGAAAGGACGAGATCGTGAATACAAGTGAGGAGCTCAGTCACACGGGAGGAGCTCGGAGTAAAGCCACTGCTCCTCCACGTCGAGAGGAGCCAGTTGAGGCTCGGGCGTCTGTTCCTGATGTCTCCTGGGCGCCTCCCTCTTGAGGTGTTCCGGGCATTTCCCACTAGGAGGAGGCCCCGGGGAAGACCCAGGACACGCTGGAAGGGACTATGTCTCTGGGCTGGCCTGGGAGCCCCCCTGGAGGAGCTGGAGGACGTGTCTGGGGTGAAGGAAGTCTGGGAATCCCTGCTTAGACTTCTGCCCCCGGATAAGTGGAAAAAGATGGATGGATGGAAATGATTTGGTGATAAATTTTTTGTAATTCATATTCATTCCCAACAGACATAACAGACTGCCTGTGATTACACACTTGGCCAGTAGGTGGTTTCGTGCGCACTAGGGACGGGCATTCGATGAAATGCTCTTAATCGATCGTCGGAAGAATTAACGATCGATTATCCATTAATCATTAACGTTTTTATATTAAAATGATCATCATTATTATTACTATCTGCACTACTAATCTGCATAAATAAATTCAACTTTACGACATATAAACCGTAACGACTCTAGAGCCACATCAGCCCGTTTGACATTATAATGTGTTTAATTCAGTTTTGTTCAACTCTCACAGAAACAAAACTTAAAACCACATCGACAATTTGTATAAACTAAGCGAAGATAAAACTCCAGCTCTTGTGTCGCTGATGCGGTTCAACTTCTGTTGGATTAAAAGACATGACTCAGGTGAATACAGGTTAGTGTGACCAGATTTACGTTTGTCAAAACCAGGACACCGTACGGGGGGAGGGGGGCGGGGCCTCGTCATCCACATTGAGCGACTCTCACCTGGTAAAACTTTTTCCCACTGGACACAGAAACATATGTGCTGCTTTATACACTGTGCACATGGACTCACACTTGTCCCGAACGCAACGGAAAGTGTGGAATTTCTTGTACAAATCATCGTTAAATCCACATTTGTGCTTCGGTTCGTTACAGACTGACCCACTGTTTGTGTCTCGCTCCTTCTGATGCAGAGACACATGTACACACCTGTTTGGTCACGATACACACAACAACCTACATTCGGTTTGTCGATTAAAATTAACGTAATCGATGAAATTTTTAATGATCAATTATCGATTAATCGAATAATCATGCCCATCCCTAGTGAAGCTTCAAGAAATGAACCCTTTCTTGAACCAACCGGTTTCCTCTCACCATCTCTAGCATTGGGCGTGGAATGACACCTCACAGCTTTTTTTTATTTCTTCGATTTCATAATGTCGTTTTCATTCTAATACTGATTTTTGGAAGTGTAAGAAACTGTAACTCATCATTATATAAGACTAAATTCTTTTCTGTACGACCTTGTGGCAATTTTGTCTCAAGATCTTGGACCGTTCCAAGAGACGAGCCGAGATCAGGTAAAGACAAGATGCTACGTTTCTTCGTTCCTTTATTTTTCTTTGTTTGTTTTTGCACTTCACCACAGGTACCACCAAACAAAACAATAATTAGAACAAATGAAAAGCTGCCATGTGCACTTTAAACACCGCGGCCTGTGTGTGGGAGCGCTCGTGAATATTTATGAAGCTGTGGAGGATTCTGGCGTCGGTTCATCAAACGGATCTGCTCGAATCAAAGAGGAAACGGCTGTAATGATCTTTACTCGCAGTTACGATACCTGTGAGTCTGTTGTCATTGATGTGGACGTCTCGTGTCTTGTTGCGGTAATTATCCGAGTGTGTGAGTGTGTGTATGTGTGTGTGTGTGTGTGTGTGTGTGTGTGTGTGTATGTGTGTGTGTGTGTGTTTTATGTTTTTATATTGTGTTGGTTTAATTGGAAAGCACTTTGATCACCTCGAGTGTGTGAATAAATGTGAGATGATTGATTGATTTTGTTGTATTTGTGTGTGTGGTGTAGTAGTAGTAGTAGCAGTAGTATTAGGAGTAGGAGGTGTAGGGGGAGTAGTAATAGTAGTAGTAGTAGTAGTAGTAGTAGTAGTAGTAGTAGTAGTAGTAGTAGTAGTAGTAGGTAGTAGTAGTAGTAGTAGTAGTAGTAGTAGTAGGAGTAGGAGTAGAGTAGTAGAGTAGTAGTAGTAGTAGTAGTAGTAGTAGTAGTAGTTAGTAGTAGTAGTAGTAGTAGTAGTAGTAGTAGTAGTAGTAGTAGTAGTAGTAGTAGTAGTAGTAGTAGTAGTAGTAGTAGTAGTATTAGGAGTAGTAGTAGTAGTAGTAGTAGTAGTAGTAGTAGTAGGTAGTAGTAGTAGTAGTAGTAGTAGTAGTAGTAGTAGTAGCAGTAGTAGTAGCAGTAGTAGTAGTAGTAGTAGTAGTAGTAGTAGTAGTAGCAGTAGTAGTAGTAGTAGTAGTAGTAGTAGTAGTAGTAGTAGTAGGAGTAGTAGTAGTAGTAGTAGTAGTAGTAGTAGTAGTAGTAGTAGTAGTAGTAGTAGTAGTAGTAGTAGTAGTAGTAGTAGTAGTAGTAGTAGTAGTAGTAGGTAGTAGTAGTAGTAGGTAGTAGTAGTAGTAGTAGTAGTAGTAGTAGTATAGTAGAGTAGTAGTAGTAGTAGTAGAGTAGTAGTAGTAGTAGTAGTAGTAGTAGTAGTAGTAGTAAGTAGTAGTAGTAGTAGTAGCAGTAGTAGTAGTAGTAGCAGTAGTAGCAGTAGCAGTAGGAGTAGGAGGAGGAGGAGGAGTAGTAGTAGTAGTAGTAGTAGTAGTAGTAGTAGTAGTAGTAGGAGTAGTAGTGGTAGCAGTAGGAGTAGTAGTAGCAGTAGTAGTAGTAGCAGTAGGAGTAGTAGTGGTAGCAGTAGGAATAGTAGTAGTAGTAGTAGTAGGAGGAGGAGGAGGAGTAGCAATAGTAGCAATAGTAGTAATAGTAGTAGTAGGAGTAGTGGTAGGAGTAGTAGCAGTAGTAGTAGGAGCAGTAATATCAGTAATAGCAGTAGTAGTAGTTGTTGTAGTAGTTCTAGTAGTATCAGTAGTAGTAGTAGTAGTAGTAGTAGTAGTTGTTGTAGTAGTTCTAGTAGTATCAGTAGTAGTAGTAGTAGTAGAAGTAATATCAGTAATAACAGTAGTAGTAGTTGTTGTAGTAGTTCTAGTAGTATCAGTAGTAGTAGTAGTAGGAGCAGTAATATCAGTAATAGCAGTAGTAGTAGTTGTTGTAGTAGTTCTAGTAGTAGTAGTAGTAGTAGTAGTAGTAGTAGAAGTAGCAGCAGAAGCAGTAAAACACCTCATGTCTTTCTTAACATTAAAACATCTCATCTTCGATCTTAAAGCTGCATTGTGTAACTTTTCTGGTGGAGGTTCTGTCAAATCCTTTTCTCCATGGAGATGTTATTGCTTTGTCTGGAATGTTACAAGTTACAGGTCAGATCTGTGGAGAGGCGACGCCGCTCACAGTCAGAACGTCTGTTTTTCTAGGTATTTTTGAGCCGTAAACCCACCTGTGCTTGAATAAATGTAAAGTCGAGCTGTTTAAAGTCACACTGTGGAACATTCCAGACAAGGCAGTGACATCTCCAATTACACAATGCACCTTTAAATTATAATAGATTAAAAAATATGTTCGTAATTTGCTACATTTCACGCCTTCTACTCAGTAAAAAAAAAAAGAGTTGAAGCGATTGTGACGAGCTCCAGGACAAAAGAAGTGTCACAGCTCCATCTTGTGGCCACAGAACAGAACTGCTGAACTCCAGAACAAACGCTGTGCTGCCAAATCCTCTACTGTTTTAATCGTTGTTAAATTATTATGAATTTAAAGATGAACTGCGTAACTTTACCTGTTTGTATCTATGGACACGTGTATCTCCATGGAGACGACACCAGGTCATGTTACAGGTCTTAGCAAAAAGTAGTTTATTTAAAGTTCATTTTATTAAGTACGCTTCAGTATAAGGTTTTCAAGTATACGACAGACCATGTACTGTACTTTTAGTGTACTAGAAAGTACTAATTTAATACCTTTTCGTACTAAGCTGGAACATTTTAAGTTTTTAAGTATATTTTAAAGTTCATTTTAAGTTAGCAAAAGTATACAAAAAGTACACTCATCTATGTACTGTCAATGTACTTGGTATATCCCTCTCGTATACTTAAAGTATACCACAAGTACACTGATCTCTATACTGCCATGTACTAGTACTAGTATACTTCGAGTGCCTATGTTTAGTTTTATTATAGTATACTTTGAGTATACTTTTATAAACTGGTTATTTTTCTTGTTTACTTGTTATATTTTAAGTTTGCTTGGCATAATACTTCTAGTTTACTATTTATATACTTGAAATATACTCCTTAAAGTATTCTTAAAGTTTACTCATACTGTATGTACACAAGAGTGTGATGCATTTACAAAATCACAAGACAGAATGTTGAAAACAAGTGTGATATATTTTCAAACATTTCAAAAACAAAGACCAATGAAAGTCCTCACTTATTGGAGAAAATGAAAGAAAAAAGTGCACATGTGCATGTCAAAATGTAAACTAAATGGTCTCTCCAAGATTAAGCCCTTTATTTGTAAAAATAAGCAAAACTTTTGGATAGACTTGTAAATGTTTGTAAATGTAAATGATGCTCAAAGCCTGTTTTCCTCCACACTACAACACCTGTGTGCACCTTTTCTCTCCCTTATACAGAGCAGCAAATAATAGAACATAATTAGATCTAGTGCCTCACAGTGGCGGAGGAACAGACACACAATATGACTCCAACAGACATAAACGTTTACTAAAGTATGAGTTTTAGTATTAAAGTATAAATAAGTAAGTAAGCCTTTATTTTTATAGCACCTTTCACAGATTAAAAAAAATAATAATAATCACACAATCCTTTACAGAATGCAACAAATAACATAAACAAGAACAGAGGAATTACAGACACAGTCGGCTAACAGCCAGTCTAAAGAGCAGAGTCTTGAGCTGCTTTTTAAAAGAGTCGGAGGGACAGGGGCAGAGCGTTCCATAATTTGGGAGCCACAGCCTGAAAACTCACGTCTTTGGGACCATCAAGAGGCCCTGACCTGAGGACCGGAGGGTGCGACCTGAGGTGTAGGGCGCAAAACGGAAGTTAACTGGAAGCCAGTGCAGGTCTTAGTATTAATGTCTTACACTTCTGTTTATACTTTTCAGTTTAAGTGTAATTCATTATACTATTCTTAAGTATATAAATAATATACCATATTTTTCTGACTATAAGTCCTTCTGAAGTATAAATCACACTTTATGGGGAGACCAGGAACCGACATTTCATCTTGAAAGTCAAGTTCTAGTAAAAACAATAGAACAGAGAACAACAGACTGAATAAGCATCTGGTATGTTAACGTCACATATGAACAGTTCTTCAGATAAACTACAACATAAACAACAGAACATACGTTTACCAAACTCCCCATCTCACTCCAAATCACTAAATCCATTGAATACATTCAATTCTTCATCCTCGGTGTCACTTCTGACCAACTCCGCACAACTTCAGTTGTCACTAAAGTCCAGGATTTGTCATCCAGTGACTCCAGGAAAGTTTCATGCTGCATCCTCCCGGTTGCCGTGATGCTGTGTCTCCTTTCCCTCTTTCCACCAGTCCCTCACAAGTTTCTCACTCACTCCAAACTTTCTTTCTGCTGCTCGATTACCATTTTCAGCTGCAGATTTCATGACTTGCAGCAGGACGGAGGCTTTTTCTGCAGGAAGTGAGCAGAAAACTGACACACAAGACTAGAGCCTCTCGAGCAGAGGTGCTCACACTTTTTCATCATGTGAGCTACTTACAAAATGACCAAGTCATAATGATCTACCTAATACAAAGCCAAACAAACTGCACTGAAACACTCTGTGCCCCTTTTTTGGACCCTCACCCACAGTTTGAGAACCTCTTCTTTAAGAGAACTTCCTCTGGCACTTTACACAAAACTGTGAAAAAAGTGAAGGAAGATTTTTAAACCTGTTTTTTTAAAGTTCCAAACTGGAGTTTCATTCTTTTCTGGTTTTGCAGTGATATTTACCAGCCTCTGCACGTTTACCAAACCAAACGCACATCGTGACAAACACAGATGCATTTGTCACTTTTGTTAGACAAACTTCAGCCAAATGTGGCAGTAGGTCTGTTCTGTAGATCCGCTCTATGCTGTAGACCTGCTTTGTGCCAACACTGGAACACAAATTTAGCTTATATTTAAAGATGCACTATGTAACTTTTTGGTTGGGGGTCCTTTACCTGCTTGTTTCCATGGATACGTCATTGCTCTGCCTGAAATGTTCCGCAGTGTGACATTAAACAGCTCCACTTTTCTCTCATTTATTCAATCGCAGGTGGTTTTAAAGCTCAAAAATACCTAGAAAAACAACTCTCTGGCTGTGAGCGGCGTCGCCTCTCCACAGATCTGACCTGTAACTTAGTCTGGTTTGGTCGCCATGAAGATAGAAAGGTTAATGCCATACTGTGGAACATTCTAGAAAAAGTAATAACATCACCATGGAGAAAAGAAAGAGAAGAGAAAGTTACACAACGCTCTCAATATGTTATAAATATTTCAAAAAATGTGCACAAAAAAGTGAAGGTACAAATAATTTTAATGCATTGGAATTTTTTTTTTTACTACGTTTGCACTTTTTGTAAGTTTTGTAACTTTTTTATCTGATTCTAATGATTCTGAACAGGATGTAAATAATTTCACAACTGCACTTCCTGTTTTTAAATGTGTTTTTAAAAAAAAAAGAGAGCGAGAGAGATAACAAGTGTTTGGAGATGATATCAGAAACAGACACCAGCCTTTTTCAGACCTATATTTCAAACCTGGTTCAGTCCTGGTTTAGTCCTGGTTTAGTCCTGGTTCAGTCCTGGTTTAGACCTGGTTTAGACCTGGTTCAGTCCTGGTTCAGTCCTGGTTTAGTCCTGGTTTAGTCCTGGTTTAGACCTGGTTTAGACCTGGTTCAGTCCTGGTTCAGTCCTGGTTTAGACCTGGTTTAGTCCTGGTTCAGTCCTGGTTCAGTCCTGGTTTAGTCCTGGTTCAGTCCTGGTTTAGACCTGGTTTAGTCCTGGTTTAGTCCTGGTTTAGACCTGGTTTAGTCCTGGTTCAGTCCTGGTTTAGACCTGGTTTAGTCCTGGTTCAGTCCTGGTTCAGTCCTGGTTTAGTCCTGGTTTAGTCCTGGTTTAGTCCTGGTTTAGTCCTGGTTCAGTCCTGGTTTAGTCCTGGTTTCAGTCCTGGTTTAGTCCTGGTTTAGTCCTGGTTCCTGGTTTAGTCCTGGTTCAGTCCTGGTTCAGTCCGGTCATGGCTGTGGGAGGTCTGGTCCTGGCCTGGTCCCTCTACATTTTGGGTAAGTGATCAGTGTTTGTATTTGTGTTTGTG